GCAAATGGACGATGCTTAAATAAAATTTCAATTATTTTAAAATGAAAGGTACATTTTAATCAAAATCTAGATGAAACATATAGAAGATTGTTAAACAGGATAATAAAATCGATCGATCCATTTTATGAAACAAAAAAGTATAATGATGTTGATGATCTTCTAGAAACAGCTGTTCAAAAAGTATAATCATTAGTTAAATAAAAAAAAAAAAATAAAGAAAATGATGAATTCTCTTTGAATAGTTAAAAAGAACCATTTAATTTGGAATTATCTCAAATAGTTTAAAATTGATTATAATATTCAAATCATCTGAATAGAATTAATTTTGATATTCTATTAAAAATATTAAAAAAGAAAAATCTTTATCTATTTTTAAATTAAATCTTTTATTTTATAAAACATTAACAAACTTTGAACCAAAAATTACTTAAATTTATCAATAATAACACCTAATTTGATACTTATTGTAACTTTCTATAAATTTTATCTAAAATCATGACAAACAAATCTCTTAAGAAACGATAAGCTCAAATCATCAGAAACAATAATTTTAATTTGAAATTAATTTTTATCAGCTTGGTGACATAATAAACCTCTTGAAAGTTATTCTTTTAGATATAAACTTCATTTTATGTCAGAAATAGAAAATTAATTAAATAAAAATCTGAATATAATTATGACATCTAAAAAATAGAGTGCCCACTATTTTTCTAAATTAAATTTAGATCATTATTAACTTACAATATCTCTAAGATCACAAATCATTTAAATTATGTTAGAGTAAGTATTTTATCAAAAGATCCAAAATAATAAATAGTTAATATGTTTTATAAAATAATTTCAATATCACAAAAACAATCAAAAATTTTAGAATAATTTTAACACTTCAAGATGTCGGGTTAAATGAAATATAATTAATTTGCATTTATATTTAATTTATTTATATTGAAACCATCTATTGTAATTTGAAAACTATTCAGATTTAAATTATCTTGCAATACGATAATTTAGATTTTAATTATACTTCTAAATTAAAATAATTGCCTGAAGAATAAAAATTTAACAAGTATTTTTGATTAAGAAACTCTTTTATTTAAAAAATATAATTCGAAAATAAATTTATAATTTTTATTCCATATATATATTGAATAAAGATTCCCCTTATCAAAATAAATTATTCTCATTAATTTCCTTATATATATGATCACTATATATTTTTCATTTTATTTAAAGTTTAATATTATCTCCTAAATGAGAAACTAAAGTTATTTATAGCACAAAATCAATCAGTCTCGAAAACGATATTAAGATAATAGCATTTTCTTTTGAGATAGAAGAAGCCATTTCAAAGCCCTTAATTCATTTGCGAATACAATTAAATAAATAAGAATTAAATTTTCTATTAATATCTATATATAATTTATTTTTTATTTAATAATATGCTCCTTTCGCAGTGAGAATATAGAATAAAATTTTCAGGGTATTTAAATAATCACCTCTTAGGCTTTCTTATATAAAGAAAAATAATATTTAATTTGTTTAAGAGATTATTTGAAATTTAATCTCCTTGCAGTGGGTTATTTTTGCAAATTTTTATGAGTATCTACTGAGAAGGAGCAGGATGGTGAATAATTTTAAACATAAGACTAAAAATTTAAATTCTCAAGACAGCAGTATCAGAATATTGATCACATATTTTTAATTTTAGTAAATGTTGGATTAATAGAAATATACTTTTTACATGATTATAATTATTTATATTATTCATTATCCTCCTTTGAGCTTGAGCCTAACGTAGAGTGTACAATTATTAGTGAACCCCAAAAGTTATAATGTTCTGCTTTCGTTTTATTATAAATTAGATCCATTTCCCAATTAATATTCGATGGTTTCTTCATATTATGCTTGCATTCTTTGAGCAAATATTTATTCTTTGATGCCATTTATAAAAACATTAAATGGAATTTCTGGGTCAATAGAAGTTTGTAAGTTTAAATTAGCTTATTGTAAATTTACAACAACATTCACACTAATTGCATGGGGTTGATCATTTCTATTTGGCGCACTATTCTAACCTAATAGCTAATTCATGATTATTTTATTTTTAATATTTTAATAAATCTTTTTGTCAAGAGCTTTTATACTAGGAAATATGCAAATAATAATTAGAATTAATTAACTAGTATTTTTTCGATATAAACTCATAGATTCATTTTTCAAAGAAATAACAATTAGACTTTTGAAATCAGATTGTTGATGTTAGTTAAACAGATTTGAGTAATGGTGAGAAAGATATTGCAATTTTTTTAAATGTAGAATTAATTATTTAATGTGGTGTAATAATAAAGAATATGAGGCACTAAGTGATATCTATACACTGCTAATTTAATAAAACATTAATTCTATTAATTACTTGTATGTTTCATAGTATAAAAGCCCTTGATAAAAAGATTCATAATAATATTAAAAATAAAATAATCATGAATTAACTTTTGAGTGGTAAATAAATTGAAGATAGTCCACCATATGCAATTGATGTGAACGTTGTTGTAAATTTAAATCTCGGAAATATAAGCTTACAAACAAATGTCGACCCAGGAATTCCATTTAATATATTTATAGAAGGAATCTTAGAATAAATATTTGATCAAAAATTGCAAGCAATATAAGATACTAACCAAATTGAATATTGTTTATAAGACGGGAAAGTCCTTTAAAGAAAAGATAGCAACCCATTATACTCTTTAGGATTCGATAATAATTCTACACTCAATATTCGTATATTTTAAGGGATACAGGAAACTCCATAACCCTCATTTGATAAATATGGAAAAAAGTAGTATTGATAGGCTTTATAGAAATTTTTGAATTTCCATTCATATGTTAATTTTGAGTTATTACTCTCATATAATTTTATTATGCAAATATCCGATGATAATATAATTAGAAAATGGATAAAATGTGCATGTAGTTATTAGATAGTAATAGATGAATTTAATTCTTAGAATATCAATGATCATAAATCATATTATTAAAATAATCTTCTTTTCTTGTTTTTGCGTTCATCTTCATCAATTTCATATAATTATATTTCTTTTTTTAAATTAAGTTGACTATATAGTTCCTTAGTTGAGTCATTGAATGATTCCATGTCTTGATGTAGGGATGATGCCTCAAATCTACTCTTTTGCAATTTGGCATGAGCAGTCGAAACCCTTTTTAAAGTGTGGTTAGTGATTTGCCTTTCACTTCTATGGATATCTAAGTCTTTTTTCTAATTAAGTATGGTCATCCACTCAGCAGGGAGAGGTTCACAAGTACAATAATCAGGATTGGGCAATTAAACCCCAAAGTGTTCTTACAATTTGATCCTAGTGACATTAGCAGGACCCGAATCTACCAATCCTAAGGTCAGCTTTTTGAATATAATTAATAGAATACATTTAAGGACCAACTTAGGATTGGATAGCAATCCTTGACACTAAAGACCTTAAGGAATTCCCTTCTGATAACCCTTTCTGAGAGGAGATCTTGTAATTCGATTTCAAGGGTGCCGATTTTGGTGTTTTCTTAATAAAGATACATTGGTAGTACTTTTAATTGATTTACATATTCCACCCATCCTTTGCGTTGATCGCTAAAAAAGTAATACAAACGCATACGATTGAGAGTGAGGAAGTATCCTTTATCAAATAGTTGGCCCGTGAGAAGATCGAGTTTGATTTTGAATTTCTGATCGAAGATGTTGCATTCAATATAGTAGTGTTTAGATAGATCAACATTTTAAGGCACATCTCTGATAGAATGGATTAGGATCATGAATCTAAAGCGATTGAGTGTTTTAATGACAGTATTATGAATCATGGGGATTTATTGATTATTGAGTATAAGTTGTTTAGTAGCAGAAATATTAAAGATTTATTTAGATTCATCTAATCCTGTTTTAATAGATTCATTATTCACTTGGTTGGCTTTAAGTGTTAGCATTTGATTGATGGTGTCATAATCACTGGGCAATCCTAATTATTTATTGAACTATAATTGTAATTCAATGAGTTGTTCAGTTTCTTTATAGAGAGTGTAGCATTGCTTGCAAACCTTATGTTCATGATAGAGATTGCTAACTTCTAAATTGGTTACATCTGATCTTTCGATCCAATTGAATGTTTTGCCTCTCCAATAAAGGTGTTTATCAGTTTAAATGATCATCTTCAGGGTCATTTTATATTGCAAATATTATTCAGGATAGGATTGCTCACAATACTTGCAAATCTTTTGCTTTTAACACATATCAGCAACTTTGGTTTTGTTCTTGGGTGATATAATAGAGATCTGTTATTATGATTAGATAGTAGGTTATCCTTCTTCATTTATGTCTTCTCCATAATGAGTAATGGATTTCCAAAGAATCTTCTCTGGACTTTTATCAATAATAAATCCTTTGACATTAACAAACCACCAAATGCCACTTTCATCCTTAATGAAATCAGCAGCAAATTCCTTAAACGTAATGTGCAGATGTATATTTATGTAATTTAGAATATTTTTAACATATGGAACTGTTTCATCGACGTACTTTCCACGACAAGTATTAACAATGGTACATGAATTTTGCTGACTTACATTTGTTATGTATTTTGTGAATTCAGCTTTTGGATTTGTTGTTTATGAAAAATAATCATCCTTATTGGTTACAATGTAGCAGAAGGGATTTCTGTCTTTGCGCCAGATGGTTCTGCAGATAAAGGCTTTGGGTCCATTACTTTTAACGAACTTTTGTATTACAGTGAGATCCATTCGATTTGAAAAATTAGCATTAATTTGGGTTTATAAATCTCTACAACACACCAATTTTATTTCATTCCCAACTAATTCCATGTTTCTAAATTATTATTTCTTGACGACTGCAACTAATTCATCTGGAGATGTGTAATTGGCCAATTTACTCACTACATTTTTTGATGTGAAAGCATCAGTTCTAAATACATATCCTCTTGAATCTGAATACAACCAATAATTTGGCATTTCGCGATCATTCAAAACTATAGTGTCTGGAACCCATAATTACAATCTGTTCACTATTGATTAATTAGATTATTCGCTGTCTGGTCTACGAGCCAGAAATTTATAAAAGTGGATGAAACGCTAGAAATCAACTGTGTATTGATGGTCTTTTGCATCTTCATCATAAATTAGGTTCACTTATGCCAGCAATTGTTCGTACTTCCTCTTTGCGTCTATCTGTCTCTGTTGTTGCAATACATATGGGTCTTAAATATTCTATAACTGTTTTATCATTTCTTCTCTGTGTTGCATTATTAATTAAATGAATGACGAACTCGCAAAAGAGACTTTCATTGTTCAACACTAAGCACAACCATTTACCTATCTCCAAATTCTGAAGGCCCTACAACCCTTGACTATTAAGACATTCCGATTTAACATTCCAGAAATCTCAATTTTCAATTAAGGGGAAGTAGAATTGTTCATCTCCCAAAGGAGAACAAATCTTTATGGACAATACAAGCAACTCAGGAATCTTCCACTCTATAGACTCAAAATATTGATGCCCAAAAATGGGTGTATATGCAAGTACGTTGATTAGAATCTCCAAATTATGACAGATGCAGAATTGACCATACTACTCAATAAAAGAAGAGTTGAACCCATATGGAAGGACATCCTCTATCTACAATCACAGCACTTGGTCGATTAGAGAGTTCTTTATATTGCAGAACAAGACGATAGCACAACGTTGTATAAAAGAGCCTACACGGAAGTAGGAATCTTGACAAAGGATATTGTCATTGCCTCATCTCAATATATCGCAGATGAGGAGGAAGATCAATATGAAAGAAGTCTCCCTTAGGAATAACTCTGTTAATATTACACCTACAAAATAATCCACTTCCTTGAGAAAGTAAGGACTATTAAAATAACACATGGAATTTTCAAATGGAGTGTTGAAAATTTTCGCTCTTATTATTTTGTAGACTCACAAAATGTTAGTTATAAAAATATTGTTGTTAACGATTTAAAATAGAATACTAAATAATAAAACTCCCTGTAATTAATTGATTCTGTTAACGATGAAGTTGTTAAGTAATATACTACTATTTTAAACAATGAATATTAGAAGAAAAAATAATAATTTGGGTTCAATGAGAATTAATTCAATATAACAAAGGACAGAGAAACTGAAAAAGTATTCAAAGAGATACATAAAGGTTCAAATATTTAATATAATTAATTATTTTAAGATCTTGATTCATTTACTAAATATGAGGGTATTAAAATATTATTTAGCTATTAGGAATACTAATAAAGCAAATTAAACAAAAACATAGAATAAAAATTATCAAACCCAGAGAAAGAGTTATGACAATTTAAAACAGTTCGCCTCCCCAAAAGACTTTGCCAGTTCGACCAATGACATAATAAAGGTAAAGAACTCCTACCTACAAGCATTATAAATCAAAATTGAAATATAATACTTTGCCATACTTATTATAATACTGATATATAAATATATTATAGGATTTCTGTAAGAAACTTAAATTTATAATTATTTGTTATAACAGCATTACATCATCTATAAATTTAATACAAACATTTTCAAAGATATTTTGAACTATCAGATCACTAATTCTTTTAATTTATATTATCCTATTTTTATTAGAATATTGAAATTCTTATTATGATGATATCATAATTTGATGAATTATAATTCATGTTGAAGTCAATAAACAACTGTATTAAAACATAAAAATCAAAGACATAGAAAATGCTGACTTTTAAATTGAGCTTGTTTATTAATAATTCATTATTATTCCATTAATAATTTATCTTCTGATAAATCAACAAAACTGGATTCTTTGTTCAGTACTGTCAAGGATAGGGAATTGAATTATCCTAGAGATGATTGCAAATGCTACCTAATTATTAATTATCCTTCTTTTCTTTTCTGTTTTTCTAAATGGTTCTAAGATCGCCTAGGAATACGTTGAGTATATTGTCTATTTAATCAACCTCATGATCTTGTTCGCTTTCTAATTGTTCAAGTTATTCTGAGACATCAGTTACATCATAGAGATGCAACATTTAACGTAAATACTTATTTTCTGTCTAAAGACTAGCTATGATACCCTATTAACTATAATGATACAAATATTAAAGTACCTCAGACTCATCGTTTGTTTATAATTAATCTTTTTAAACTAATTCAATGATCTTCAACAGTTTCATTTTCAAATTCTTGTTTCTTTCTTGGAGGAGTTCATTTCGTTTCTGGATATATTGAGAAATGAGTACCTTTTCTTTGAGCCATTCTTCTTTGTAGAATTATGTTTTTTGAACTTCTTTGTCCTTGGTGAGTAACTCTGTTTTGAGTTAGCGATATTTTTTCATAACTTCTTCCAGAACTTTAGAGTAATCCCTAGTAACAGAATCGGTATTATGTTCTCTTCTTTCTTTGACGGTGGATATGTTTTCATTGCGACTTCTATTGTTGCTAGGTTATCTCTAATGAGCACCCTTCTTGTTGTATTCATAATGCAAACTGATTTATGGAGTACGAAAGAGAGTTGGAGAGCAGGAGTTTTCACCTATTTGGAATGGATGAAGTACTTTCGATTTTGGCTTTTCTCTGGTTGGGCGTTTGTTCTCGACGTTGGTTGGGAGAGGTGAGTGAATTGAAATTATTCTATTGGAGGAGAGGGGGATCTTTCTTGGTAGGAAGTTGAAGGGTTTTCTTGATTAGGAATGAAAGTGTACTTTGAAATCTTCTTGTCGTTGTTTGATATGCTGGACAAAAGTCTTGTTTTCAGAGAGTGTTTTCATTTATTTGAAATTTAAATTATATATGTGTGAGAAGGGTAAGATTAGATTATAAATAATTTTTATAATGTTGTGCCTTTTTTTGTTGCAATTAGTGGCTGGACTAAGTGAACGCCCACAAAATATTAGTGAATTGTCAAAGATGCTCTATGGGTACGAGTATAAGGGGAAATGGACATCTTAAAAAATGGAATAATAATTCCATTACTTGACAGTCGAACAAGGAGATGCTTATATGATATTCTTGTCGAATAATACTCAATAGAATAGCAACGACGTGATCGACCGATTCGAGTTTCAGTTACTCAATCCCAAATACTAGGAATTGAAGCAAGTTATTGGCATGTTTAAATTGACTAATTATTCTGACAGTGACATGTAAAGAGTGATTTAATGTTAGTTCATTCGAGAACACCAGTGTCTTGAACTACACAACAGCCTACAAATTCAGAAGAAACTATTATTCAAAGGAGAATTGTGAAATTGCATATACTGTCAATGTCGAATTTTAAGGAGACAACTATGATAAGGAACATGCCAAGATCAAAGTACATATGTAGACACATGATAATTCATTGGACTCTCACTGCGATGTCGACATCCTCATGGATTTGATGCTTGACACCACAAACTATTTATTAGTCATCATTATGTATTGTGCAATGTCGGTGATGATATGTTTTACGCAATTCCTCTGCGTCACTAAACTTTGCAAAGCCTTGCTCGAGAACGAGGAAGACCCAAACAAAGTAAACCCCTCCAACTTATATTAGATCTCCCTCTTTGCTGTGGGCTATTTGACGATCCAAGATTCCTACATCTGTCTATAAAATCTCTACGAAGCATTAATTAATTATGTAATAATTTCAATCAAACCTAGCAATACTTCTAATACTTCATTTTACCTGCCTTCTTTTACTTCCTGTTGGCAACCACTTGCGACATGAAGTTGATTTGGATAGTCTGGAGAAGTCGACACTTGGAAGATCTATTTGATCAGCAAAGAATGAGAAGAGCCATAACCTACTTTTTCGCTTAATTCTGTAATTGTCTCTAACTTACTTTAGATTTTAGTCTCATCTTGTATTTTCTATTGATGTACTTCTTTTTCACTTATAATTGGTTTATTTGTTTAACTGGCATGTGTCTACTTCCATAAATTATTCATAACATTCGACTTGGTAATAACCCTAGATTCATCTCCTACTTTGTATTTGGTATTTTGGTTCCAAGTATGCTCTATCAAGTATATCGTGAATATATTTTAGCTTTATAATAGAGGATGTCCAAGTAATTTACGTGGCCTTGAACCCTCCTTAGCCTTTTGCATGATCTATCTGAGCGAGTACTTACTCCAAATAATCATCCTCTACATCCAATACAAACTAGGTCCAAGATCGTTTATCCCCAAATGTTTCTTACCCAAACAATACAATTATTACAGAACACTTAATATACAAGAAGATTATGTACCAAAAATCCTATTATATTCTTTAGGAAGAATGTGCAATCTGTTTGACTTCATTGATGGATGATCCATTTGACACGGAAGCACCTACCTAAAAACTTGTAATCAAACAAGCCATGCAAACTCCTTGTCGTCATTGGTTCCATCCCTCATGTCTACGTAGTTGGATTGATATCAAAATGCAGTGTCCCACTTGCCGTTCTGAGTTACCACCTCTATTAGAATGAATATTTAATTAAATTATCAGAAATGCAACGAGTAGCTCCGAACACTATTAAAGAGGGTTTTGTTAAGGTTGTGATTCCTAAATAATCATCATAACCCAACATTAATCCTGAGTCAAATACTTTCTTTCATATAGCTCCCAAATTTCAATAATAGCGTTTGACTATTAAACAAACAGTGCCCACTTCCAAATCCATTGAAGAGAAACGTTGTAAGTAGCATAAGAACAATCTCTCAGAAAATAATAATAGCACTAACAGCAATTCCAAAAGTCGTGTAATTGCCACTCTATAAATTGAAGATGATTCACTTCAAACATCTCAAAATGGTTTAAAATTAAGAAAAATAGTTGCCGATAGTCATCTGTTCTCAACCAACGTTCTTTAGCAACTGTAATCCAAATTTCATTATGTAGATCTAAATAGAATCTAAATACCAATCTCACTAACGATTCTCAAAGCCCGGGATAAAGGAAACCTATCTAGATAAATCAGGAACTATATAGTCTTAACACTCAAATTTAATCATTTATCATCAAGAAAAAATATCATACAAAATGGGAAATTTACAAAGAATTATTGCTAAAATAATGCAATCTATTAAATGTATACAAACATTAATTCATTCAATCTACTTCATTTAATGACATCTCAGTTAGGATTATCAACAACTTATTTGAAATGATGAATAACATCTCAATTGAGATCTTGTGTGAATAAGAGTCTAAATTCAATCAAATTATTGAAAAAATCAACCAAGAAAAAGAACTATGTTTGAATAATTGCTAAATTATTGAAAAGGAAAGAGACCTGTTGATTCAAACAGTCAATCAACTTAAATCACCTAAATAAATAAATAACTCAAATCAGATCGATAGTTTGGACACCGGCTAATTGCAAGAAATGTAAAACGCCATGTAGTTTAAATTATAAGAAATAAGTGAAAAAGAAGCCAAATTGATTAAATTAGTTTTAGCCATTAAAAGAAGTGGAATTGATATTGAAAAAATTTATAATGAAGAAGTGCTTAATGATGACAGTGCTCTTGAACCAAATGATATTTTACATGGAGTTAAACATTATAATTTTGAAAAAAATGAGCATGATGCTGATAATTCTATAGTTAATGACTCTGATGAATCTAGTTTTTGCTTTCTTAACAAATTAGAAAATGATTCCATCCTAGATAGCATTCGATAATATTAGTATAAAAGCAATAAAAATCTCGATACAAAAACAAATAATGTTAAACTCAAACTTGATCTATCCAGTTTACAATAAAAATTTTAATAAACCCAAAAGAAATAATAACATAATAAATCATAATCCTCATAAATAATATAAAATAAATAGTAAAAACATAAGATTCCTGAAAATTAAAGCTTTACAGGGTTTCATCAAGAATTCATATAAAAATTAAATGAATTTTCTGAAAGTTGGAGAATATAAGCTGCAAAAGATGAAAAGCGAACTAAATCTTGAAATTATTAATATATTGTTTCATTTCATTTACTCAAATAATAAGCAGATAATATTTGAAATTATTTAATTGTACTATAAGATAAATATTATTACAATCCTGATTTTGTGATTTAATCTAATAAAATCAAATCTTTATTTTAGTTCTTAATTATAAAATACCCTTTTGATTCTATACATTCAAATTGCCTTCAGATTGTTTTTGATCTTACACTAATTTTAATAATAAAATTGTTTTTGATGCAAGAATTATTCTCTCGATAATTTATAATTATAAATATTCTAAATAATTTGATTTTATTTTCAATTTTAAGATCACTATTTAAAGTATCAATAGAAAATGATTGTTGTATTTTTTGTTTTTATTACAATTGCAGTTGTTTAATCATAATTAGGTTATGATTAGATTTAAATCATGAAGGCAAAGAATTTAATTTAAATATAATTTATTGGAAATTATTCAAAAGGTTTATTATTTTAGATACTGAACTTAGAAAGTATATTCTTAGAAATTTAAGCAAAATTGCTTCAAAATAATATGAAGAACTGCTTAATGAAATTTCAAAAATAGAGGAACGAATAAAAATACAAACATCCACTTACAAGGAAACCGATTTATGATGTGGATTGTGCTAAATCACAAAAAGTTATCAATATTTGTTAAGAATATTTTATCACAGATTATATTAAGTTGTTTAATTATTTAGTTAAGTAATATAAATTTTATTCATGAATCTAATATTAATTTGCATCCTATTCATCAACATTTCAACAAAAGAATTCAGAATCTAAATTCAGAAGACATAAACGTAAAGAAGATCAAGAAATCATTTAACCTACTCTAATGTTGATAAGAATAAATTAAAAGCAACACCTGATGATTCCAAATAATATTTAGATGATTATACTTTAACAGTAGCATAAATTTTAATTTTACCAGATTCCATTAACTTTGGGTTCAGAATAAGTTTAATAGTCAATTGATACTACATCTTATATTACCTGGGTATTTAGTAAAAACCCAGATGATAAAAAATGCGATAAATGTCCAGTTGATGCAAAATTAATTAAGTGTGAAACAAGCTGCTCCTATCAAACAAGCAAGGACGATGATAAAAACATTCCCTTAACATCCGAAAATTCATATGGAGGAAGAGTTAAAGTGAATGGATTATATGCAATTTAAGTATACAATTTAACAAGAATAAGGATTCACTTGAATTATTAGGGATGACAGTTAATAAAGTAGGTCTTGGACTCGTAGATAAATACAATACAGAGTATAGTACTACCTCTAACGATGGGGCATTGGGCTTGGCTTTTGGTTAAGACTACATTGATTACAAAAAGAAGAAAAATGCCTAAGTTGGAGAGTTTCAGTTTGACTCTGCTTTAGAACCTCAGAATAGTATACTCTAACAGTAATAGTATTAAGATTTACTTAAGAATCCGTGCTTAATTGCCCAATGTTCCCCAAACTACTTTTGCTATTAAATTAGAAGACACATTGCAGTTGCTTGTTTTAGGTGAAAAACAAGGATATTTTGCATCATCTAAATTTGTTAAGTTTTCAAATGTTGGTAAAAAGGTCTGGGCATTAAAAGTAAATAAGCTATACTTTGGAGATGAGTCAGTGTTCTTAAGTAATAAATAAATTAAATTGTTAGCTGGTGGAACTGCCATATTTGATAGCACGACAAGATTTATATGGGCAGAAAAGACAGTCATAGAAAAGTTTGAGGAAGAATTAAAAAAGTTTCATCTTGTAATACTTTTGCTTATATTAGGATTGTGCTGTGAGTGAAGATTTATTAAAATGTTCTTGTAATGATGAACAATATGAAAAATTCAATGATATTAATTTCACTTTTAATATTGACAATAATAAGTACGCTTTATCGAAATCAGATTACATCCATAGAGAAGATTAAAAATGCTATCTTTTAGTCAGATCTTTATAAGCAAGCAATCCTTTAATTTAATAATCATCAGATAAACCTGTTATAATCATACCTTATACATTTTTCAAGTAAATATGTATAATATGTGAAGAAACAATTATGTTCTATTTGATCAAGAAGAAAATTCAATTAATATTTCTCCTGCATACCAAGTGAAAGCTGATTCCATTCATTTGAGTAACAACACTATTATTACAACTTCCATAATTGGATTTGTATTTTTAATTCTATCATTATTCGTATTGACTAATATAATGCAGTAATATCTTGTATATCTTTAGATATGCATCTTATGAAAATACAACTTAATAGCCATAGCAACCATAAGCCTATTAAAAATAATAAATATATTAAACACCTCAAATGTAATAGTAATAATTTAAATAATCGCCATATCAATTCAGTCCAAATTAAATTAACTAAGGGAGAGTTAATCCTGTGGCAAATATACCAGGGCAATTTAGATTTTGAATATTATATGTAAGATATAAACAAGATATAAAAGATAAATCATTTTTTTTAAGTTGCTTTCATCATTTTTTAATTCAATTACTTTAATTTCATCTTTCTTTAGGTTTCTTTATTAATAAATTCTTTCACGTAAGGAGATTCATGTACCTTTCCTGGCAGTAGAATATTTTATTTAAAAGAAACTTTTTTTGCAGAAGTACCTCAGAATTTAATAACTATTTACTTCGACTAGAAGTGGTGAAAAATGATTTCTCAAGACTTTACTAAGTATGTTATTTCGATGAAATAATCTATTTAAGTTCTCTTTATGATGGTATTTTTTTTTATTCTTCAATAAACTTATAACCACCTCCTTTCCAGTCATAAACAAATTTAGATAAATTTCTATTGGTTGTTATTAATGGTAAAGCTACCATAGATTTGGAGTCAATTATTTTCTAAGGAGGTGCTTTTGCCAATGCATTTGGTTTTGGTAGAATTGGAGTGGAGAGATTATCTAGTATTTTAGTACGAGGTGTTCTAGGAACGTAAGGTTTTACTTCCTTCAATTGTAAAGGTGTTTGAAGTCTTGGACTGAAGATCGACTTTGGAGATTCCTTTCTTTACAAATATGCTTCTCTATTGAAATAATGATCTAATCTAAAAATGGCAAAATACCTTTAATTTTTGGCAATGGATAATGCTTTAGTTTTGCTTTTGTTCCATCAATCACTTCGGTTGTAGTGTCGATTTGGGAATAATGCTGTACTGATTGATTTTTACCATGCTAAATGATATGTTTTCTTTGATCTGCAATAATTCTATCTCTTAAACTAATTTAGCTCCTTTGAATAGCCATGATCCTTTCATGCTATTGCCTATGCAATTCATTTATTTATTCTTTCAGTTTGATTTCATACACTTCCAATCTTAGAATATGTTTCTCAATTAGATTAGTTAAGTATAATTTATAAGAATTTGATAAATTACTCTAGTTGACATTCTAAATTTAATTAACTAAAATTACCTCTTCTAATGCTCTTCTTTGGATAGGAAAATTACTTGCTTGCATTTAAAACTTGATCAATTGTTCTTAATAGTTATGTAATTATTTCTGATCTTATTCAATCTGATATCTTAAGGAATCTGCTGCATTTCTGTCTATTCCATCGATTCGCTGTAGATTTTCTTAACTTTCATTGACTGTAAATTTAATCTACTCAATTTCCCATTGGTACTTAAAAATAGATTAATTAATGTCTTGTTCATTATTAAAATGTTCAATTATATTTTCTTCATATAATTTGGTTTGTTCTTTTTCATTATTATTAACACCGGATTTTTAATTGGGCTTATGATTTAACTATTTCTTTAATTCTACGTTCTCGTTTATTAATTAATCATAGATTGATTTAAAATCTTCCTGATGATTACTTTATTGTAGATTCTTGATGGATCCTTAATTAAAAATCCCTGCAGCCATTGAACAATATTCAAGTGTTTGGATGGTCTCTTCATAATTCGTTACTTAAGGAGAGACACAGCCAATAATAAGAGTTTTTGAATTACCACAAAAAGAGTCTTTGAGTATTTTAGTGAGTTTGCTGTTTCGATATGGGATGAATGGCTGAATATTTTTGCTCTGAGCTTCGCTTAGTAAGGATATGCAATCATTGAGAACTTATAAGGATGCAGACTTTTGTCCACCTTTCTCAAATCCAGCTAGATCAGCAATTATAAATTTAGAAACTGTGATTTCATTATTTGAACCTACAATATCTTGAATGTAGTTTGTAAAAATTAGAATTTCGTGTTGCTTGGTTGATTTTTGTCTTTTTCCATACTAGATTAAATTGATCACTTCTTAAGTGCTGGCAACATCAATTTCTCTCATTCCACTTATGACTATTCCTTTCTCTACATCATCTTTGATGTCGAGATTGCTGTTCATATTGTTTAGTAAATCGTAGAGTTACTCTTATTACAATTCTAAATATGAAAATTTCATCTACACTTTCCTTTTTTTATTGTGAATAGTTTAATATAGTTAATTAAGAGCTCGTATTAATAATCCATAATCTTCATTCAATTTCACAAGTCTTAATTATTGGAAATATTTACGTATGAGTTTTTCCAGTTCCAGATGCCCCGTAACTAAAGAGCGTAACATTTATTCCATCCAACAGAGAAAGTACCTAATACTCAAGAGCCTTCTCAAATATATCCTTTTGAGAAGCTATTTAGTCAAAAATCCAATTGAACTTATAGGTCCTTTTGCCCTACTTAACATCCGCCTCTACTGGAGCAATTGCTGCTAAAGTCTCTTGATCTAAAACCTTTAGAGTGCTCTTGTCTTAAATCTCTAGATCTCTGTAGTTAATAGGTTTTATTCGAATGACAACCTATAAAAATCAATACTAATTACTTTTATGTTTTCAAGTAACATTTTAATTAATAATGATAATTATTTACAAAGTCACTAATAATATATGTAAATATATTATGTATAAGTTAAAGATGAAATATTAAATAATTATTATTTATTCATTTAAAATAAAATATTATTTTACTTTTATTATATAAACTAATTCTATACACTTTAGATTATTTTGCAATAAAATAAAGTTTGGAAGGTTAATCTGTTAGTTTTTTGAGAGTCACTATTGTCTTTGCTCATTTATGTAATTTAGTACTAAAGTTAATTGGCTTAAAAAGATTTTCAGATTCATTTACAGCATGGTTGTCTCATTTTTTTAGCTATAAGAAAGATCTAGTCTTAGAATTCTAATTTATCACCACTCTTTTGACAGGTTTAAAATATGATAATACGATCTATCATCGTTTTATCGTATTTAATCAAAAGATAAGTTTGTTAAGCGAGAATATTTTTCTATAAATGATTTAATTATCTTGATATTTTATCTGTACATTTTATAGAAATATTTACAATTTCTCGAATATTATTATCCAAAATAATATCAATGAAGTCTTGTTAAATTGAAGAAGAGGATATGCATCCTACAACTTAACCAGGGTTTATTACTGTTGTAGTTAAAGTAAGCTGTAACATTTTCACAAATGTGACAAGCATCAAAATAGATCCATAAATTCCATTTAACTTATTTTGCAATTTAGTTAAAGAGATGATATTCTCGTCAATTGATTAAAGTATTAAACATTAATATATATTTTAGAGTAAGCCGACACAAATTTTGAATACATAAAATAGAACTAAGTAATTGAAGAGAAAGAAATAAAAAGTTTATTAGAATTGGGATTTACAAATCAAGATGTTTTGGAAATTAAATTTAAATTGAGGGGTGGCTGATTCGCATTTAATGTGCTTTAATGATGTATATAAACATTTCTTATAATAAATTCTAATTATTAATAGAATAAGGATAATAATATTGTTATTATTTAATAATAAAGAGCAGTATAGTGATCAATTGATACTAATTACAATCCATCTCCTAATCAACATTAATTATAAATTAAAAATCAATATGTCAAAATAATTAAAATTATGATATATATCTAACTAATCTACACTATGCTAATGGTTTCTGAGCTATCAAGAGAATATCCTATTAGAAAACTTTTTGAATTAGCTGATGAAATTTAGTAAGAAGAGCAATGTTTTTATTATTGGATTTCGTTTAGATGAAAAATTAAATTAGTAAATTTAAAGAGTATTAAGGGAAAAGGATAATAAGTTATTAATGATCTAAGGAAAATTAATTGTTTCCAAAAAATGCATTCATAAGATATAGAAAAAAATAGACAATAATATTTAAAGGTATTCTTATGAGATGAGAGAAACTGAGGAATAAATGATTACAATTACAATAGTAATAGAAAAACTTAATGATACAAAAACCTTTTTAATATTAGTTGCAGTTAGAATAACAGAATCTTAATAATAAATACAAAGATATTAAAATTATATCTAATAATTAGATGTTGCTTATAAACAAAGATTTAATTCATAAATTCAATAACTATCTAATTTGTAAGTACATGGAAGGAAAATATATTTTAGAACAGAGATGCAAAATGGATACGTAATTGGAGAAATAAATTTCAAGGACATCTAATTGTTGCCAATAACAGATAGTGAGGGAATTAAAATGGGCTGGAGACAATAGTATAATTAATTATAAAAGATTTTTATTGGAATTTGTAGGAGAGAGAAGTAGTTTGAATAAATGATCCAATATAATTGTAAGTGAAATTGTAGATTTGTAATAGGAGTCTAGAGTTCTCAAAAACTATTTAGTTTAGGGTCTAAGAAGAAAGTGAGAATCAGGGATGAAGTCTATAATGTGAAAGTGAAGAATCATCTTATTTAATACCTATAAAAGATGAAAAAACTTTATTAATTAATTAATGAATTAAGACACCACCAATGTGATTTTAGTAGTGATTACTAACAAGGCGAATAAGACTCTTGGACATGACAAGTATTTCAAAGTGTTCAGCCAATTCGGTACAATTCAGAGGGTAAGGATGCTATTAGCATATATAGATGCTCATTTTCGAAAGATCATTGACATGGAAGACATTTGTAGAATTTGATAATCCTGAGTCTGCAATTAAGGCAAGATAAGTTATGAATGACAAACCTTTTTGTGATGATTCGTAATTGATGATGAATGTATATGCAAGTAAGCTGACATACATCACATTTTAAGAGAATAATACTGGCGGTGTTGGTATAACCATATATTTACTTAGATTACACTTTGTTACGTAAGTAATAACAACCTGCTCAAAAACCACCTTAATAACCTATTCCAATCTAATTTCTTTAATCACAAATGTAATTTCAGCATCAAATGTCTTAATAGATACAATAAATTAATTCTTTTATGGGTTAACTTTAGTAGGTGAGTGCTGAAGGGTTCTCCACAACAATGATTTCTTCATCTGACTTATAGTCATAGATTGAAAAGTAGCAGTCATTGTTGAATCAAATATATGAATGCCAAGCGAATTTCCAACACTTAACAGATCAATATCAAAACTTCCTATAAGACGTTAACAAATAAGAGGAGACCTAAGCAACCACTGTGTAATAGAAGTAATCAAATAGAAAGAAGCTGACTTTGCCAGCAGATCAGAAGAAGAAAACTGATTAAATAGAATTTATACAGAGTTATCGAGATAACAATACAGAAAGCTTATTTAATAGTTAAGATTAGAAGATTGAGGATGATGATTTGAATTTCTAAGGTCTGGGATTAAGAGAATCGGATGATGAAATCGTTGGATCTGAACATTGCGATGATGAAGATGAGGAAGATGAAGAATAAAATGAATTCCTAAAATACTTTGATCAGAACTCAGACAACAAATAAATCAACAATTTCTAAAATGCTTTTCAAAATAATGACAAACCCTAATAACAATTCTAATCATAATAATTACAACAATCAAATCTATCTTAAACCTCCTCTTAGCCTACTTCATCTTCTAATTTGGATTAATTCAAAAATAAAATTATCAGAATGCCTGTATCCAAGAGTTAGACTTTACAATAAGTAGAAAAATAGTAATTGGATAAAATGCAATAAAGTGCTGACAAAATAGAAGAATACATTAATCCTAAGTTTTTACAATGTATATTAATTGTAATATGTGATAGCTGTGCGAAAATCCAGAGTAATCTATGCAAGATGGTTTGACAAAAAAGTCGTGACTTCTCAAATGCTTTATAACTTATTTAGTATTTATGGCAACATCGATAAAATGATCTACCTAAAGGAGAGATCTAGTGCTCTCATCTAATATGTTACTTAAGACCATGCTGCCATTGCTAAAGAATCTCTAAACGATATCATGTTTTATGGACAATCTATTAAAGTAATTATATTCTTCATTTATTACTAGATCTTTTTTTCGAACTACGAAGAAATTTCACTAAAGACTTAACCAACTAAACCTGGAGAATTCACTCAAGATGTCAAAACCCAAGAAGAGTACTTTTAGGGAGGAGAAGAAACTCATAGAATCAAACCTGATAGCACTTATACTTTAGCCCCACCTTGTGATACTATATAGGTGTCCAACTTGACAAAAAATTCATGCCAAGTTGCAGTCTTATAGCAATACCTTTAAGATTATGGTCAAATTAAATAATACAAATTAGTCACGAATGCTACGAAGTACATGGCCATTCTCAAGTACCCAAGCACAGAAGTGGCTATAACTGTTTTGGCTAATAATAATGGATTGGAATTGGATGGTAAATAAATTTAAATAAATTTCTCAAAACAAAAACTCATATGAAAAATTTTTATGTTATTAATATGATATAAAAAAAAATAGTACTCAAATTAGCTATTAAACATAATCCACCAAGTTTATTCGTCATCTATCGTTACAATTTGAAAGATAAAAAACTCAGAAGGTCACTCAATCTGATTATTTTAGATATCGAATTGAGCTTAATTCCTTGGTCTATATGGCAACTCCAGATTTAATCACTTAGCAACTCTATATTGAACATGATGATTATTTAAATGACAATAATGTGGAGTATGAATAAGTATATAGACTGGTTTAAATGCTATATGATCATCAACAATAGAAAAGTGGAACGAGAAGATCAGTCATCAAAAACCTTGATCAAGTTGAATCCTATATCGAGAGCGATTAAGATGAATTAAATAAGAGTATAATGATGGAACAAGATGATAATTGGCAAACTCCTCCTAATAGAAGAACAGGTATTTTGATATCAATTGAATTCAAGAAACTATCTATCCAAAAGACAATAGTAAATTTAAATAAGTACCTTCCAGCGAAAGCATGAATTTAAGCATCAGCGGAATGTAGAATTTTATGTAGGGTTAATAGAAAAAGCCAAATAATCTTACGTATTTACCTATCCATAATTTTGATGAATAAATTAACAAAAATAGGCGATTTGTAGAGGATTAAATTCAATAAAACCAATAAAGCTATTTTAAGAATAAATTCATTGAGTTACCACAGCCTTTACTTAACAGAAATAATTAAAAAATCAATAATTATTATTGATATAAAATTCATAATCTATTTCTCATCTTTCTTTCTATTTTTTCATCAAATTTGCTCTTACACATCTTCTTATGGTAAGGATTTTAAATTTCAACTATTAATTATATGATATTTTTATTCGAAAAAATATGAATGATTCTATATTTTATATAAATATAATATTTGAACTTTTTAAGATTCTAAAATGTCGAATCAATAGTTACTTTTGAATTATTTTCCCTTATTTTTTTATACTTTACTTTTATTAATCTATTATTACTTAGGGAAATTTATATTATTAGATTAAATTATATTAAATATTTTATAAGTATCTTTTTTATTTAGATTCTTAATTTGTAAATTCTACTTCAAAAAAAGATTTTAGATGAAAGCATGAAGATCACCGCTCATAATTTTAAGAGGCTCAACTAAAGAATTAGATCATTAAAACCATAGTAAAATCCAAAAATAATTCTATGAAAGTTCTAATTAAAAGTTACTGTTTTTTAGTTGTGTAAAGTATCACACAAAAAATAAAAAATAATGATATATATATAAAAAGGAAGAATGGCTAATAATTATTTATAATATTATATAATATAGAAATTCTAAATAACTTTACTAAAATTAAAAATGAGCATAGAAGATGTAATGTTGGAAGCCCATAAATTGGGGTATCATATAGATGAAAAAACAGTGAAACATAATTTTGAGTATTTTAAACATAACCTAAACATGTGTGTATGTGCAAATTGTTAATGTGGAAATTGTTAATGCAGGAATCCCAGATTTTAATTGGCTACAAGTTATAGAAAAATGTCCTTAACACCTAAAGTCAGTGTAAAAGATACTCCTATCACTATAAGTCCAAGTTTTTATTAGACATTTGAGAATTCTTATAGGTAGATGCAAGGTCTCCCAAATTAATTTGTTACAAGCAATTAAAGGTAATATAGAGGATTCAGTCTGGCTGATACTCCTGTGAGATCTGCTAAATCTGGAGTGGCAAACTCTATTTCTTTTGAGGGGAATACCAGTTATAAACAGTTCTTTTAAGATAAACCTCAATAAAAGTATTTGCAATTCAAGAGACCATATGAAAAGCATACAGGTCCTTTAAAAATAAGTTAATTGAAAACATAGAATTAAAGGGCTTATTAAAGGCTTAAGATAGAGTCCTAAAGAGCTAATGCGGATTAAAATTAGAGGGATCAAATTTTTAGAGTGTAATATTTAATTCATTAAGTAATTAGCAATTTATCGATTCCAATGAATACGATTTATTAATCTTCTTTTAAAGAGATTGGTCATTTAAGTTAATCATTAGGTAGAGAAGAGTGTAAAAAGAGGAAATAAGAGAATCTTTAATGCATAAATCAAATTACGTTGCCTTTTTAAGCGAAATCAGTTTCAAACTAATAGTATAGAAATAACCCTCTGTTTTTTTGTCCGGCTAAATTATAAAAATATTAATGAATACTTATAATTTATAATCAAGAGTAAATCAAGAAATTTAAAGAGCTCTTTGCAATGTTTTACAAGGATAGATTAGGAACCATTTCAAAAATGAAATCTGTAATCTGATGAAAGAATGTGGAGAAATCCTACACCTTAATATTGAAGAAAATGACTTAAAGAAGTAGATGTTGATGGAAATGGAGATGTGGATTTTTTGATGAATTTATTGTTTTGATGGGGAAAAGAATGAGAGAAGAAGAAACAAATCAAGAATTGAACTAGGCATATAATGCATTATATTTAGATAAAGATTGATTTCTATAGTAAAAATTACCAGAAAATGACTAAATGAATTATTCTTAAAGGTGATTTGGATAAAGATGGCAAATTTAGTTTTGATGAATTTATTAGATTATTAGATTTATTACCCTAAATGATAAGAAAGATTACATACTAATACATTAAAATAATGTATGATTTAAGAAAAACCAAATATGTATTGAAAAATTTTTAAAATAATAGCAACCTTTTCTTCAAGAAATCATATCTTCATATAAACTTAACTGTTAAATATTTGTTTATTTGAATCATTCTAAAACAATTCCTTATTATTTTAGACTTCTGATAACCAATGCCTCGTAATCCTTTAGAAACACTTTGCCATCTCGGTCTTCATCTGCCATTTCCATCCACAATTCTACATCTTCTTGAGTAGGTTCAATTGACATTCCCATCAATTTATATGTTTCCTGAAGCAATGATGGAACCTAAATGACTTGCCTTTATTTTTACATGCTTTTCTGTAATGAATCCATTTTTTTCTGTATCCAACATTCTAAAAATTCTTCTTGCTACTTCCAATCTCTCTTACACCACTGAACTGTAAGTTGTTTTAACTGGAGGGGAATTAGGGATGGATGAAGCCTAATTAGTGACTACAGTTTATTTTTGAACTGTTATAACTTTGCTATTCTGGTTGCTTGATACTTATCTGTTGATATTGCTTGTCTCATAAGACCTTTGTTGATTTGTGTTTTGTTCAGGTACTGCTCTTTCGCTTCTTTCACTTCTATCGAAATTACCTCCAAAGTATTTTATGCACAAAGCTTCAATATCCTTATCCGTCACCATCCCACATTAGCGTCCTAAAATAATTCTGTATCATTGGTACTGTCTATGATTCTGGAAAAAGCAGCAATATCTGTTGGAGTTGGATTGAATCCTTTATTCATGGCTCTGTAACAATCTGATTGTATGTAGCCCACTTCGAAGGAATCTAATGTGCCGTTTCCATCCCCATCATAAATTGACATAATTTTCTTTGCTAATGCTTAGCACTCTTCCTTTGTCATAATTCCTCCAAATTGAACTGAATCAGACATTTTCAAGGTTGAATATTTGATATCCCTATTAGGATCCATCTAAACTCTTAATAATTATTTAATATTATGCTATCACTCTGTAAATCTCTTTTTATTGATTGTCAATACAAAATAAGTCAAAACCTGACGTATATTAGATTACCAAAAACGAAAATAAATGGAAATCATATATTTCTGATTTTTAGATTACTAGTCGTTGTTAATATTTATATTGTACTATATTTGAATAAAATAAAGATGAATCCATTATAATTGCTTGACATCTCGAGAAATACAAGGGTATCAAACTTCCTCTAACCCCATCATTCAAGTAATAAAATTAGAATAGTAAGGTTTATTACACAGTTAGGATGCCTTACTGGATACTAATAAGGATATCTATAAATAACTAATACAATATCATTTGAATTATAATAAATATTATGACATTAACTATTTTAATTTTAGGAGGACTGTTGTTTTTGGCTCTCATTGGGATAATGTTAATTAAACACTTCTGTAATAAAAAATAATAAGTGGAAAGTAAAAGTCCAGAAGCAATTTAAAACAATTAGCATATTGATTTAGGTGATTAGGAAGTAATCCCTGATTCTCATTAGTCTCAAATTCATAAACAACAAATTTAAGTTAAATCGATAAAGTAATCTAATACTCCAAGCAGAAAAGGCAAATAAAAAAAAGAAAAATAGTTAATGGGCGAGATTGCATTTTAGTTTAATGATGATAGTGATAATGAAAATGATAAAAATTCTTCAGGGACTGATTAGCAGCAGTCATTAAATATGAGAGAATAAGCGGAATTTAATTTTTAGTAATCGGAACATAACTTAGAGGAGTTAGTAACGCCAACATAAGTAAATAGTTAAGAAATTTGAGTATAATTATATATATTTTTTAAATGTCTACAGAATGTACCCAAATATTTTTTCCATCCGATTAATAAAATGAGGAGGGATACATTATTGGATTCAACACAAGAGGGTTTAATTTTACTATATTACAAATTATAAATAATAAAAGCATCGAAGAAATAGAAAACCAATTAAACAATTGGGATAAGCAAGAGAGGATTCAACTAATTTGTGGAGTAAATTTGAATATTAACAGTTTAGACGAAACTACAGGTGCTAGGAATAGTTGGCAAAAAAAGCGATTAATAATTCAGAGAAACCTGGTTGTGGTTAAAAAATAATAAATTGGAAGAGTTGATGATATGTGGATATAAATATTAAACAAAGTGCACAATAGTTTATTATGATAAGCTGGTTTAAAATTAGATAATTTCGAATGAAATAGATAATTTTTTGGATCCGAATCATAAATCAATCTTAACAATAAATCCAATGATAGCATTTGACTAAAATCACTCAGAGGAGATCACTAAAATATGTGATAAGGATAAATTGAATGAATTAGATTATTCACTAATACATATTAATTGGAGATAACATATTTTGAGAGAGTTCAATAGGTATATTAATAGTAAACCCAATTCTGAAGACAAATATTATTATTGTTATCTTAGAAATGATACTATAAACACTTTGTTGAAAATCATTCTCAAAATTACATATTTTTAGAAAATAGTATTCTAATTTGTAATAAAAATTATGGAATTTAGAATTATGGGCAAAAATCTCTAAGACTTCGGTTTCTTATCTTACACTATGAAGTAAGTGAACTTCAAGTATAATTTATTTAATAAATGGAATGATCAAGCTGGAGAATTAGTATCATAACACTAGCCTTTATTTATATCTAATTTGAAATATAATTATCATAAGTTGTTCTCAGGTATCTTATTTGTGTTTTTGGATATATTATTTGGTGTATTAAGTTTGTTAATACTTTATTATAATGTGACTTAATTGAGAGACTTCTTACATAAGTATGGTTCTAGTATTCATATAGAAGTGTTGTCAAAAGAAGTTGAATGGTTGATGGGATTTCCTGCAGGACTCAAAACCAACAAGCCTTTAAATTACGTTTTGGGATAGATGATCATGTATATAATTGTCCTTTGGAATCACATTACAACATTTATTACACCATACGAAAACATTTTATTAAGAGCTGTAATGATATTTGGATTGTTTGGATTAAATTTTGAATTGTCCTTGGCTATAGATATTATATCTTTATGCACAATTCATGTGTATTACATATATAAAATGTTGATGGTAATTTATAGATAATTGTGGGTGATGATAATTTGTTTTTATCGAATAACCTAAAATAAATTTATCAACAAATTTAGAAACAAACTAGAAGATCATCCATTTTTATGGGATCAAAAGATTATCTCTATGTTTTTAGGTTTCTTTTTACTTATGATGATTCCAACAGTCTCATTATACTATTTTTGGTTCTTGTTGATTGTGATATTCATCTATTTAGTAAAATTAACCTTAATTAGTTTTCAAAGGATATTCAGCAAGTTCCCATTATTTTTATTATGTTCTTATTTATACCTACACAATATACCTTAAACATTGGAGATGAATATTTAATAAATATAAAATAATACTGTGATTGTAAAGATGATTTATAAGAAGGTGAAAATTACTTAAGTAATAAAATTGAATAGTAAATTATATTAATATTCTAGAATTGGTGACTCTAAAATAACAATTTAATATAGCTTAGATCATTAAATCAATATTCGTTGGTTAAGATATTATGATCAAATCAAAAACCCAGAAAACAGCGATTAAATAAATTAAACACAGTGTAGATCATTTGGTACAATTATGATTATTATCATATAATAAAGATTAGTTCATTTTGATATTCTTTAGATACTTAAAATAAGTAATTGGGATGATTTTAGCTAAATAATTTTAGCTTGAAATATTGAGAAAAAATAATTTAAAAATATTGATCTGTTGTATATTTATGCATTTATTTCATTATGGTGAGATTACTTCTTCTACTTGTTTTGTTTTTGTTTTTTCTAGCTTTTCCTTTTCTAAGATATAACATTTAACTACTTAATTTATTCTAAGCTTATTACTATTCGAATTCCTCCTTTGAAACAAATGGAATTTTCCTCTATTTTAATCTACTTTGAACAATAATATCTTGCAATTCCTTCTCAGCATTATCTTAATTACATAAAGTCATTTACTTCTTTTAAATTTAGAGTGAGAAATATCAAAGTGAATCAAACTTGTATTCTTAGTTAAACCGGTCTTGAGTTTTTCATAGATATTTTTGTCTTTATTGTCATTATTTTCGCTAAAATTATTATTGCTAATATTTAAGGATTGTAAGGTGCATGAGGAATCTGATAAATATACTTCAAGCATTTCAGCAGTTAAGCTCCCCAATTAATTAGCAGACAAATTCAAATGTTGGATACTTTTGTTTTAACTAAGTTTGCTAAAGAAGTTGGCACCAGCGATATCGTTGAATGAATTTAATGACAAATTCAAATGCTCAAGAGATTTGTTGAACAAAAGAGCATATGCCAAATTTTTAGATCCGACTAACCCAATTGCATTATTGGACAAATCCAATTTGAGCAGTATTTCTGATCTCATCAAATACTTTGCAATACGTATGACTCTTAAAGATTAGAGGATTAATTTACCCTTGATCTCCAATCTTATTATGAGATAAATTCAACTCTATAATGGAGATATCAAGATTGATTCCTGTCATGAGCAATCTTAATAAGTCATCATCGATTAAATTAGATGGTAAAGATAAGGATTGCTAAAATACTTTATAAAGGATACAAGATTTCTGCAATGCTTAGAGATTGCTTCTCCCAATTCAGCTGCTTGACTTAGTTTCATGCCCAAGATTTCCTTTCTTGTTTGATCGATTCCAGTAGTCTAAATTGAATTATAATATAATATTTACTTTAACTCCATATATAACTGTCAAATTCTAGAGACATGGCAAGTACTGGCATAAAAATCCAATGTCAATATTGCATTAAGTTTATGATATATTGAGGGAATAGACCCAATTATTGACTGCCTTTAATATTGCTTGCAATTCGTCTTTCTCTTATTGGGATTCTAAACTCTATTTTTCGAATCAACTCATACTTTTATTGATTTAATGTATTCTTCCAAGAAATTTTCCATATAGGCAATTTTATAACTGTAACTATGTCTGCAGATATTAATAGTTCTGTGAGTGCCTTTCCACTTAGTTTCACAAGCTTGTTTCCAATAATTCTCATCTTCAATGCTATTGTAAGTGATTGTTACAGGTAAGGTTTTAGGTGCTTTTGATATAATCTAATCTTAATGAAGAGGGAATACTTAATGTTTTATTTTTTCTGGAATACCTGGCAACTAAGAATATAGATCAAAATTAAGAGCCACCTGCTCTATTGCCAAATCCAAGAGAGTGGGGAATTCGATTTTGCTTGTTTATTGTGGTTTATTTTATGCCCTTGATAAGAATATTTGTTTGGCCAACATTATATATATAAATATTATAATCAGCAATAATATGAAAATTATTAACTATCATATTTGATCCCGTCAGATAGTTTGACGAGTAATTCTTTTAGTTTGCTTTTGGGAATGGGTTTTAGAATAGTGCCAAGGATGCCCGATTACTTGCACTGTTCTAGATAACTAGAATTGGGTACATCACCAGAGCAAGCAATTAGAATAATCAAAGGATCTATTTGAATCAACTTCTTGGCTAATTCGAATCCATTCATTACTGGCATATTGATATCTAAAAACACCAATTGATAGGAGTTGCCTTCCTTCTATCTCTCGACGAATTTTTATAAGCAGGCCATTCCATTCATTGCTGAGTCCGAACTTATATTCAGTTATTCCATCAAGTACTGTAATACCATTATGTTGACTTCATCATCATCTACAATTAAAATTGGAGGTTTCTAATTAGTATAATCATACCATTTGTCTCTCAGAGCCTAAATTTGCTTAGCCTATAATGACTGTTTTCTAGCAATACTTTTTTCATCATTTTTTACGTTCAATTTCGTTTGATTGTTAACAGAATTAGTCATTACATTTATAGTTTTTTAAGATCTTTTTAGAATGATCTTCTTACTACTTTCCACTTGAGGTAAAGCCAAGGAAATTACTGGAGATTTATTTGAATTAGGTCCTGGAAGGAAATGTGCATCGAATGAAGGTAATCCATTTTGATGAATAATCAACAATTGAGATTCTGAAATATCTTCAAGTGCCAGTTATTTATTCTCTATTTCAAAATAGAATTGGGAACCTATTCCCACCTCTGATTATACTTGAATACCATTATTAGATAATAATTTCGCCAGTTCATTACTTATCATCAACCCTAATCCTATTCCGAAAGGATTTAAATTCTAATTTTCACCATCTTCTATTTTAGAAAATTCTTTGAACAAGTATTTCAAATTCTCCTATTTGATTCCATATCCTGTATCTTAGATAGAAATTTTAATGAAATTCTTTCTCTAAGGACTTTCAGAACAATCAATATATACCTTCCCATTAGGCTTTGTGTATTTGATAGCATTACTAAGCAAATTCATGATGATTTATCGAATTCGAAATTTATCAGAATTAACAGATATAGGTAATTTTGAATCATAATTAAATGTGATTATAATGTCTTTCTTATCCTTTAAGGAATCAAATATTGAAATAGTTTTCTTAATTAAATTTTATAGATTGAATTTCTTATAAACTAGTTTAATGTTGTTATTTTCAACCTGAGCTGAATCTAATATATCGTTTAAAAGATTGAGTAACAAATGACATGAATTTAGAGAAGGTTTAAGATATTTCAAAACTAATTCCTTGTCAATTTGTTCTTTCAAACACATCTGCATATTAATTATTGCATTCAAAGGATTTCTCATATCATGAGACACTTTCCGAACACTCTTAATCATAAAATTTATTTAATTTCCTTATTATATACTATCATATTTCTTTCTTTTTTAAATCATCACCATAGAGTTATTCTCATCCAAAATGAAATTCTCTATTTAAATGTGGTAGTTTTGTTGATTGCTTAATTAATAGCAAAGTTTCTTAGATAAAGGAATTTTGCTCTTTTTAAGATGAAATAATATTTCCTATAGAGATAGGGCTTGTTTGGCATCTTCCTCATTCAGTTGAATTTCTCTGATTAAATTGGTAGTGTTATCTCTTGGAGTTATTATCCTTGTCTGTATATAGAAATCTTAGGCTCCCAATAATTACTCATCTTTTAATTAGTTAAAGACTTGCTAATTAAATACTGGGGTAAAATCATTATCCAATAAACAAAATTCATCATGCTAGATATGTTTTAGAATGTTTTCTAACTATATTAAATTATTTTGGCTTTCAAATCTAAAAATCTGACTTATCAAAATATAATTAAAAACAGTTCTAATTACTCCAACTATTACGAAGTCTGTCTTGTAAAAGGCGACACAAAATATTTGGGTAATAAAAAAAATTATTAAAACATATTTAAAATGCTAGACATCCTATTTTATGATACAAATTATTTATATTCCAGCAAAAATCAACCAATTTTGTTCCAATAAGTAGTGAACAATTATTTGAGCTACTCCTTTAGATGCATTAAAAAAAACATTTATTAATTTATTTCTTCCCTGCAGGAAATGTTCAGATGTTAAAACGATTCCATGAAAGCATGTTAATGATAGTGCTATAATCAAATAATTATAGTTTGAAATTAAATAGGATTGAGTATGAACAATTAAGCTATCAGCAATGAGCATTATCGAAAGTACTTTTGAACTGCCTATTGATTTAATACATGTATTCATTAAATTATTATTTAAAACACATATTATTAATAAATAAATAAATTATTCTTACAATATTGTAGAGGAAAACCAAAATAAGTGTATATCAAACATATATTGAGATGCACAAGAATCAATAGCAGCAGATGTGTCCAAATATAATCAAACTTAATTCTCTAATAAAATTGATATTTAAATTTTATATTTATTAACAATACGAATTGGTTGTTATATAGAAATTAACTTCCAACAACGATTGTTTTTAAATACTCTATACAATTCCATATAATAGTATTTTAAAAGCAAGGATCAACAGTCCCAAAATAACCCAAATAGAGTTTTAATGTTTGAAGATCAATATTATATATTTTGATTTTATTTTATGAAGAAATATCAACTTGTTTCCTCAGCCCATTTGTTTTCTTCTCTTATTTGTTATTCTTCTTCTTGGGTCAAGTCATTTTAGATGTTGAATGTTTTTCTAATCTCCTCAGGGGTTTTGCCTTAAATTATCAATTATTTAATTACCTTTAATATAAGTAGCAACTTTGGCGCAAGACAAGTCTAGAAGAGACTTAATGTCAAGATAGTTGGCAGCCAAAATAATATCAAATAGTTCCTCTAAATTAGGTATGTTAATAAAATCAGCATCTTTTTGTTCTACACAATCAGCCCTAAAATAATAGTACAGAGTATTACAAATTATTGCTTCTTAAAGGCTTTTCAATTTCAGGAGGTGAATCATTTCTATGCATATTACAGTATTCAATCACCTTATTCAAGATACTGCTTTTAACATTTGGTAATGGAATTTCCTCTTCACTACCTGTATCATCAATAATAGTGTTGATTAAATGAGATTTACATGCTACCTCTTTGTCAACCTATATAGAAATTCTTATTACTTCGATGATCACTCCATCTTGAGTACTTAATTTCACTTTATTTTCCATTTGTTTTTAAAAGAAATATTTTAAATCTTCACTTGAGAATTACCCTTATTAATGAAATTCCAAAAGTATTAATCAGATTCTGTCACTAAAATTAAAATAACATCTTTAATCTCATTGGCACGCCTTTCCAACAAAAACCAAATGAAAAGAATGATCAATTAAATAATTTATTTACAATACTAAATAGATCAACAAAATTCATCATCCTCATTTTTTATATTTCCCAGTTTCTTCTTCTTAATGAATTCATTCAATTTTTTGTAAAACCTATCCTACTAAAACATAATATCAGGCTCTTAATCCTGTTGTAGTAACAATAGACTCCTAAATTTATCCAGCCTACCAACCAAAAATGCGTTGACCAAGATCTTAAGTCTCTTGAATGTCCAATTGATATCAGTCACTGCCTTAATATCTGAAAACACATTAACAACAATTAATTAAATCTAAAATAACTCGATTCTTAACTTACTTGCTACTATTATTTTAACTTCTCCTCCACTTGATGTAGCTTCTATGTTCCATTTCTAAGTATGTAGGGGACAGCCACAACTATGGTATTGATATTCTTATCTGGGATAAACTCCTTGGCTAGGATTTCATTTAAATGATAGCACTTAACTTAATCGAATGTTTATTTATTTTAAACTAAACATTTTTCTAACATTATGTAGGTCTGTTTGAAGCAAAGCTTAACCATTTTATAGATAGATTTCTTTGTGGTTAATTTCCCTCCTAAGAAATTTTAGGTTATATAAAGCAATTCATTTTTTAGTTGCTCTTCTGGGAAAAATAACTGCTTGTAATTTGAATAGTATTTAGTAAAATCCATTGAAGTTCTATTACGCATGAAACCATCGACTGAATACAAAATATCTCCAAAATAAAGTTAGGTATTTAATTTCTCTCTCAGCAATCCATTCTATTTAGCCATGTTTTTAAGATGATTCACAATAAAAGCCACAGAAACATGGTTTGATCTATGACCTGGAATAATTAGATCCGCCTGACTCATAAAGGGTGAGATGAAATTTTCAAAAGATCGTTTAACAAATTAACTGTACTGAAATAATACACTTTGCACTGATCTGCCTCTCTCTTGAACATCTCTGAGGATTCTTCTACACAATCGAATATCATCTAAATGATTTAGAGTGAAAAGTACCATCGCAATGAATGAAGATTTTATACGACATACAATTTCGAATTCTTTCATCATACAAAGATAAAATCCCCTCAAACACTATTACTTGAGCTGGCAAAACAATTTAATCTTCATCCTCTCTTTTATATGTTACAAAAGAATAATTCGGTATTTTTGAAGGTTTACCAGATAACAAAGTAGAAATTACTTGAAAAGCATAATCCCAATCTATGGAGTCTGGATGATCAAAATTATATTGAGTGATATCGATTTTGGTTTTGTCAACTTCCTTATAGAATGAATCGCAAGATAAGATTGTCATGTCAACATCCGAATCATATTGGATCTCTCTTTTTATAGTCTCGCATAAAGTAGTCTTACCAGCAGCTGAACCTCCAGTAACTCCAACTAGAATTCGTTAAGGTTCATATTCTGAATTCTTTGATATAAAAACTAATTACTTTTCTGAATTACAGAGGAGATTTCGGTATCATTAACTCATCACTCATAATTAAATATAATAATCATTTAATTCAATAATTTTATTTTGGGATTAGTTTTAAATTATTAGCACGAATAGTTTATAATTTAATTTCTTCTAATCTCAAATAATCTCGGACTTTCCTCTAAAAGGTTAATCCTTTGTTATTGTTAATCTTCTATTATAAATTATTAGCTCCTGAATACAATTAATCCAATAAGGCTTCTGTTATAGAGGCATTTGATATATTATCTTAGAAATCGTCAATTTAATCATTATTTGAATTAGAAGGATATGATAGAAATCTATTATGTTTGATAACACCCTCAGAATTCTTCTTTTTGTTATTACTCTTTTGTAAAAGTTATTTTAATTGACTTCTAGAGTCTTAATCTATGTGTTCAACATCATTAACTTATTCAATTAATTTGCTTTTGTAATCTTTAACTCTTTAAGTTTGCTAAAAGGGGTTTTATACTCTTTGCATTGGTTTATGCTTATTTAAACCTGAGGAAGATGCAGTGTTTGAATGGAGATCATTTGATACTTATAATTTACTTTATTTCCATTTGATAACCTTCCTATATTTTTACTCCTATACCCATTACAAATATATGTCTTTTTTATTTAAATAAAGATTTAATATTCTATCATAAATTTAATCGTTATTTTTCATTTGATTTTAGACATGTTCAGGTATTGTTGTAAATCGAGTAAATAAGAAATTGTCTGAGTTTTCCTTAAATTATAAACTTAACATAAAATGATAATGTCTGGGACTTAGATTTTAGCAATTTGAATGAAACAGTTTTTTTTCTTTGAGCACTGTCATTGTACGCAATTAATGAAATCTTAAATTCTAAATGTAGAACTCAGAGGACTTATGAAAAGCAATCTCTAAATTATCCAAAAATTTTGTTTGCTTTCTTTTTTCTTCTATTATCATTCTTCTTAACTGTATATTATTTTGTATTACCTATCTTATATATATTTACTAACATCTTTAATTTTCTTCCATCTCAATAAAGCGTTCTCTTATTTTGACAACTTTCTTTTGTCCTTCTTTACTTGCAATGATAATTCATAAATTCTTTCTCTCTTGTTTTCAACCTCCATTTTGTTACTTGCAATCTTCAATTTGGCTAATTTCTCTTCTAACAGGTTCGATTGTAGATGTTCTTTATTAATTATTTAATCTTTGAAAGAGCAAACAGATTCTTTATGAGATTTCACATACTCATATTTGTCATTCATTTTGTCTATTTTTGTTGGAAAATTGCTGTGATCAATCAATTATTTAGTATCGATATTTCCTGCCAAAAACTTGCTAAAAGAGGCCTTGAATTTATGACCTCTTGCAGCAGTGAAAGATTATAAAGGTGAAGCAATTAACAACTCATCTATTTCTGTTTAAGTATGAGTTTGTTATAAGTTAGCATTTTTTATAAAGTTTCTATATTTATTAGACCTTGCATTATTAGATTGTGAATGTTTTGGACTGCTACTTGAAGATTTATTCATAACTAAAATTAAAAATTTTTGATATATTATTTATAACAATATGATTTCTAAATATAGATCCACTAAAACATTGTGAAACTCATTTAAATATACACTTCCTCTTGTTCTACCTTCGTAAAATAATATTACTATAATATTATCCCAATTTTCCTGAGTTTTCTAATTTTTCATAATTTACACGTTTACGGTTATTTTTAAATAAAATAATTAAAGTTCTTTAAACTCAGGTTTTGTTGAAAATTATTTTTGGTTGTTAATTCAAAGCCGCTCTAAAAAAATTTAGATTTCCATTAACCCAAGTTGTGGATAGTTTTATAAGAGGATAACTTTTTTATCCTGCATGTAATTGAGATTAAAAAGCCATCTTTTTTATACTATTATAAACAGTTTGGAATTATAAATTTTTCAAAAATAAATATTATTTCAATTTCAAAGATTAAGAGATCTTTATAAATCATAAAGTTGCCTTTCTTTCTATCTGATTTCAACTAGTATTTAACAATTATGATTATATTCGATTTTCATTTAGTTTGTGGTTTCTATTAATTAAAATAAAATTTTAGAAATATGATTTTATTTATTTATTTCAGTAATAATTAGGAATTCATTTTTCTACAAATATTTATAAATTATTTACTTTCTATAAGAGGGTTGCATTTTATAATAATTTTAAATTGGCTGTTGTGAAAACAAAAATAGTAAATTGAAGATAATTTAAGAAAGTTTTAGTTAAAATATTAATTACAATTTTAGGTGCAAAGGAAGCTTTTTTAATTTTTTAATTTTAATTATACTATTTTAGATCAGACTCCCCTTTAACTATATGTGCAATGTTTATACGTATTGTTATTTTATGAAAGACGAGATGTGGTAATTTTATGTAAATTCATGCCGTTTATTGGTTTCCAAATGATGTAACTCTAATTCATAACTTGATAAGTCGTGTAAAATTCAATAGAAACCAAATATCTCAGTATATAATTCATTTATAAGATTGTCAAGATGTAATATGCAAAATTAAATCAAGCGCTTGGTTTTCTTTTTGATTCTCTTCTCTAAACTATAGGATTCTTAGTAATTGCATAAGGAACTTGAGATGTATGGCCTAAATTTTATTCCTCTAATTAGGTTGGCAATTTGATTTATGTTTGACGTGAATTGTTTAATGGAGTATTTGATTACATGAAATTTTTATTTAATTTAATAATATAATTCAAGAATATCATTATCTTAATCTATAATAGGAAAATACAATATGTATTTGACAGAAAAACTAAAATCAAAAAAACCTAAATCCCATTTTTTAAAAATTATTTGATTAATTTATAATGCCTGATTGTTATACACATTAGAGCGGTTAGAATAAATTTAATAGCTTAACCATATATAAATAATAGTATGATTCAATATCAGCATTTAAATTTAAGGAAATCGGATGACTGTTTAAATAAAGCCTATTAAACTAGACATTTTTCTCTCTTTTCAAAAGGACTTGAATTTATTTTCGAAGTGATACTACACTTTCTTTCACTAGGTTGATTCCAAAATGATTAAGTATCTCTTTTCATTGGCATTACGAGATTGAGTTTCATATTAGTATTATTTACTTTGTTTGCGAATGGCTATTTTTTTTCCATTGATCCTTACCTTGAAAATAGTTTATTTAATTAAGCAAGAGGAGATCTTGATGTTTGAGATTGGTATGACTATTCTTGTACATTGAATATGTCTTAGCAAATTTTTGTTGTTTTAATATTTTGTAGCAATTTTACTAAACTATTTTTTAGGTCTTTATTAAATTTCTAATATGTTTATATATTCGGATTTGTTTAATACAAAAGAGCATATGATTGTTGAGGGGATTGCAGTTATAATCTTTATTTCTTTTATTGTATTAAGGACAATTGATATTCTTGTTGCTTATAAAACAGCTTGTGTTAATCAAAAACTTTCTGCATTAAAAAATTAATTTCTTATATAAATTAGCTTTATAAATGTTCTAATTCTGCCTAGAAATTCTGTTGCTCCAATCTTAATTCACTAATTAAATAATTTAGATCTTTATTTTCTTAAGGGTCTGATTATTTTTTTTAACAGTTTTTATCATTTTTCTATTCAAGCATTAAATGAAAATTGAACTATTAAGGTTTTTTGTTCAACTCATTTGCTTGTTCTACTTCAAATTCAGATTCATCAAGAAGTTCAGATTTTAAAAACTTTTTAATAATGGAAATGCTCGATACATCAAGCTAATTGTCATCGTCACTCATAACGACAATTAAATAATAATAAAATTATCATTAAAATTATTAGAGCCAAAAATAACAATATATAAAAGAAAATGAGAATCATTAAATCAGTTCTTTCGATTTCATTTGTAACCATTGATTAATTTGATTGCATAATGAATTAAGAAATCCCCTCAGTTTAAACTTAAAATAAATAATTTATAATAAATGGGATGCTATATAGAAACGGGCCGGTAAGTTTAGTCGAGTGAACCCAACCCTTCCTTTGAATAACAACTATAAGAGATAGATAAAAGAGAATTTTTCAAGAATAGAAAGGGGTTTTAAATAATTCTCAAACCTATTTTGTATTCTTTTTCTTAAGAAAAAGGAGAGACAGATTCCTAAGACTAAAATAATTGATGGTAGTAAAGCTTTTGAGAATATATATTGTTAATTTAAAAATAATCGAAACAGTCTTAATTTCTCAAATCTTCAATTATGGAAGGATTTCATGACATATTATGGTCTCCTTCATAAAATTTATAATTATGTTTTCCAGAAAATATACAAATAGAAATCTAATTTAGCAGTAGTTGTGCACGTCAAGCAAGTTGATTGATAGAGAATTTGGTGTAAATCATTTGTTCCATAAGTTATAGAAATGTTGAAAATAGTCTGTGTATTATATTGCTAATTAATATCAATAAGGAAATAAAATAATTTTATGTTATTTAAAACCATTATATCAAATATTCATAATTTAAAGAAATTATTAAAGCTTTAATGAATCTAAATAACTTAGGTTAATAAATAGTCATATTTTTGATTTTAAATGAAATGAAAGCAATCTTTTGTTTTTGCTACCTTATAAGATGGAAGAACCTGTAATTCATGATTGTTTAAGACACAAATATAATTATGGATTTTTATAATCGTTAATTTTATATATTTATTCTAAGTAATTATAATTTTGAATGAGAAAAAAAGTTGACAAAATAAAAAAAAGTATTTGATTTTATTAAGATAGAACCTTGGAGTGATTATGAGGATGCTTAGGTAATGTAATTAGTGGAACAATATGGGCCACACAAATGGACATTTATAGCATCTAAATTGTAAGGCAGGATAGGAAAATAATGCAGGGAACGGTATGAAATTTTGAGTAATTTAGTTGGCATAATCATTTGAATCCCTTGATAAAAAAGTCACCTTGGGAATATGAGGAGGAGTGGATTTTATTTTTGTATCACGAAGCAATTAGTAATGAATGGGCAGAAATTGCTAAACATTTAGAAGGAAGAACTGATAACGCAATCAAGAATCATTGGAACTCTGGCATGAAGAAGAGAATGAATGAGTTTAGAGAGAAGTTATTGAAAATAAGATAGCAATTTTAATAAAAAGGGTTTTAAATTTGAATTAAAGAAGGTAGGCATACTATTTTAGATTAATTTGTGAACCCTTTTGAAAGGAAAGCAATTGAAATAATATTTTTAAATAAAAAGTATGTAAGCTTAATCACAGACACCGAGGAAGAGGAAGATGAGATAGATGAGCCAGCAATAATACAAATTCCTATGCTAAGAACACCACTCTGATGAACTCGAAGCAATTTTAATAATCATGTATTATAACTGTATATGAAGTTTGAAATCAGAAGCAAATACATCAGTAAGCATCCTAGGAGAAATAGAATGCATAGAAAGTATTTGATATACAAGAAGAATTAAATGAAGGAAATCGAGAAAGAAAAGGAGAACAAAAATATAAGTAATGTGCAACCAGTCCAAATTGAATCAAGACAAATGTTTTCGATGCAATAATTGGATCAAACCCCATTAAAAGTGTATAAGTAAAGATCAGTTTGGATATAATTTAGTGATGACTACTACTAAACACCAGCAGCATTCAATCGAGTACAAAGATTAGCAATTAGCAGTTCCAAATTTAGTTAATTTAAAAGTGCAGTCTAAGTAAGAGGAAATCTATCAATTAGAATGAAACATTCCAGAATTAGTTATAAGAAGAATTAAAGCAAAATTTATTTTTATGATTATTGTTAAATTAACAAAGCAATTAGAATTCATCACAATCTATTTGCTTTGACCAATAAAACTTATTTTAATCATTCTAAATTTATATTGTGAATAAATAATTTTATAAATTCATGAAATTTAGAACTTGTACAGACGTGGCTCTTCTTCCATCTTTGGAAAAAGAATCCAAATTCTGGTCACAGTTGCAATGGAGTATTTCTTGCAGATACCTTGATATATAAATGGGCACAACCTTACTTTCGTAATATACAATAAAATACAATAGGATATCTTACAGCCTTAAAATG